ATGAAATCAAAACCGAGACATATTTTTATCTTTAACTCAATATCTTATACTTATATTTTTAAAATAAACAACAACATACTATTATTTCTATAATATATATATATATTAGCACATCATCGTTTCTCATAAAAATAAAAGAATTTGTATAAGATAAATGAAAATAAATCTTAAAAATCACATCATGTAAAAATTAAAGAGTAATAAAATGATGTTTTATACTTCAAATTCTTTTAGATGAAAAGTAAAAAAACCAATATATTTAATTATATATTGTAGTTTGATAATTTTAGATAAAGTATAATCAACAAAAATTATGTATATATTAAATAAAATATATTTGTATGATGATTAAAATGTATAAGTTTTAATTTTTTATTTATATAAATATTACATTTTATATAAAAATAAATATATTTCATAATAAGATTTCATGTAAAATAATGTTTTAGAAAAACTAATCTCTAAAATCATAACTTTAAAAAAATATATTATAACAATGTTGTGAAAAAATAAGAAATATTTTTAAAAGAAACTTGAATTAAAAAATAAACGGATGGCCGAAATTTTAAAACGAAAAAAAATGAGAGACTAGATTGTAGTATTTCACAAATAATCCATGTCTTAAATTTCACAAATGGTATTTAGACAAGTTTCACAAAATGACAAAAATGACCATTATTCAAAAAAAAATTCAACTTAACGGATTCATATAACGGACATCTACGATAAGGACTATTTACATACAAGGTTTGCACCAAAGAGGCTATCCATACAAAAAAGTTTCATAAAGACTATATTATGGAAAAACCGAAAAGCATTAGGACCATTTATGAAATTTTATCTTAACTAAATGTCTTAACCTCAAATTTTGTCGATGAGTCGAAATGGGCCGTTGACAAGCCCAATTTCCAAAAAAAAAAGGGGGTGGGGGTATATTTGATTCCAGCACCAGTTAGGATAGGATGTGGGTGGAGACATGGTACGAGACTCATAAATGAAGAAAGAAATGGCCAACCCTATCATGTCCCCATGGCCGACCTTACCTTTAAGTTTACTAAGCCCTTGCTTACCCCCCCCCCCCCCCCCACACACACACACACACAATTCTAAGGGTACCCTTTAACACAGTTAAGCAAATCTCGATTAGTCAATTCTTCTATCTCCATAAGGGCACGCCACAAAAATCATCGGCCTGAATTCTTCTTCCTTCTCATTCTTTGATTCGCTATTCTCAGCAGAAACCAATATCGATTGAATATTAATCCATTCTTGCTAAATCAATTCTCGATCATGTTATTCTTCCATTGATTCTCCATTGTTTATTGTTCAAAATTAAAAGTCAAAACTGAAAAACTTCAAGGCTATCAAGAAGACAAGAACTAAAATCTGAAACGATATGTTCTTCTTCCTCTTATTCTCCATTGTTGATTATTCTTTCTTGATTAGTCTATTAGGCTTATGTTTGATATGTATATCAGTTAATTCCAATATGGACTGATTATCTATTAGGGTTAATAGCATATTAGGGTTAATTTTTTTAAATTATCCATTGTTAATTGACTACGGAACCCCAATTTTTCCATATAGCCCTTAATGGATAAGAAAAACCGAAAACAAACCATATAATTTTTTTTTGACTTATGCAAGGTGATATAAGCCAACTTAATATTGTTTTCGTTTTTTCTACCATTCTATATCCTTAGATATGATGATATGCTTTCCATAATATCTTGTTTTTTATGCCTTCTTTTATCCTTATATAACTCAACAATACATCAAGTTGAACCCTTTCCTTTCCACGTGACTTGATAATATTTTCTTTTCTTCTCTTAATTTTGGCACTTGCTCTCAGCAAGCAAAGCAAACCCATGACTATATATTGTTTCTTTTCTTTTATTTTGTTTCACCAAGTAGGGTAGCCTACAAAGAAGATGTGTATAAAGTGCAAAGTAATTAGGAGATGTATACAAAGTGCGACTATGGACTAGATTTGCAAAATGGATGGCTTTGGACTATTAAAATTAATAAGTCATTTCGGTTTTTTAAAGGTTTTAAGTATTATAAGCATTATTACCTAGGTATGTTAATTGTATCTGATATTCTAATTAAAAGTTAACTAACTCGAAATACATATTTAAAAAAAATGAACATAAGTTAATGTACATAATTGTTTAATTAGGTGTTATAAATTAGAAGATGCTAACTTTTAGTTTAAGGTAATAATGTGAATATATTGATTGTGTTTAGGTCCTCGTTGAAGAGTCAAAGAGATTACAAAGTTACGAGTAAGACAACTTTTACTGCAATATAAGGTGAGTATAAAGAGCTCCAAAATTTTGGTTCACTGAGAGCCTTCAAAATGATTGAGCCGTTTTCGTAACCCATTTCCATTCATAGCCTTATTTGCTAGACATACGTGGAGAATGCTTCTCATGCTTCTAAAAATATGACCTTACAATGAGAAATTGAGAATTCGGACATTCAGTTGTTTTTTAATCTAAGCACCTAAAATGGACACATTATTAGATGGTATTATTTTGCACTTCGTTTTCTTGGAAATTCAATTGTTAAAAAAAAAAGTCACATATTTTTATTCATTATCAAAACCGACCATATACACCTTTACGTCATGAACTGCAATGAGTTAAGAAACATATTTGCAAATTTTGAAAAAATCGATTCCATTGAGAATAGAAAAGAAATTGGAGCTGTCCTATTAGGTTGTCTTACATCAAAATAACAAATCGTTTTAGGTTATCTAACATCAAAATGATAAATCTTATCTGATTTCAACATACACACGTTTTGATATTATGGATTTTTTGCTATGTTTGGAATCAGTATTATCTCAGCCGCTCATTTTATTTTCACACTTAACTAATCCATAACTATAGCTCTAAAGTGATATTCTATCTGGAAACAATAAATCCATTATAAAACATTCTTGATGCACGATAAAAACAAAAACATACCTATCAAATGAACTAAGTTGTTTAGTTGCTATTTTTGACATACTTTTTGATTGCGACTTTTGAAGTTTGATTTCTTGTTCTAAATAATCTTAAAACGTCTTATATGACATATTACACGTATAAATCATAATAAAGATGTTTGTTCAAATGTCCCAGTCCCTAAAATTATAATCCAAATTCGATTTTAGTTTGTTATGCCAAATTTGACTTTATTCTAAATCTAAAGCCATTTTGTCGATTTGTACAAATGAGTTTGTAACAAAAATGATAAGTACAATGAAGATGTATATCAAAAACTCCAAAAGTTTGAATAAGTGACTGTTCATAAGATCAAAAGATTTTGTTGAATATATTATAATTTTAATTTAGTATAATTTTAATTTGTACATAAGATAATTAGTATAATTTTAATTTGTAAAGATAATTGACAAAAATCAATAAATCTTTTAATTATACCAAATGTTATATCATACCCACATGTAAGGGGTGGTTGCTGATGTGGCCCATCAGTCACGTTCGGGATACAATGTTCTCATACCCACATGTAAGGGGTGGGTGCTGATGTGGCTCATCGGTCACGTTCGGGATACAATGTTCTCTAGAACGACTTTGTTGAATCTTGATCATGCCATATGGTATTTGTTTACTTTTCTCATATTTTGACCATTATTTTTATTGAAAAAAAAAAATTTAACTTTTTGATCTCCAACAAATAATTATTTAATTCTTAACATTTGTTACACAATTATTTTACTCTCCATTTACCATAAGTTATATCGTCTTCGTTATCATCTTCGAGTGAGTTAAATATTTTTTTTTTCACAACAATCATAGAAAAAACTTAGTTAGGATGAATACAAAGACTAGATATACATTTATTATTATATTATATATTTTAGTTGGAAGTGATTTGATTTTATTTATCATGAAGATTTTAATTTTTTTAATGTGTATTAGTGGATTTATTTAATAATTATTAATTTTATATTATTTATTATTTAGTAGGTTAAATGTTTAAAATTAATAATTATTATTTGTAGGGATCCCTTATTTGTATCGAATGATAAGAAAATTAATTGGAGATGAACGATGATTATAACATGATTTGAAAGATGGAGCAAAGGAGTGACGTAATACGATAATGAAAGATGAAAGATAAGTGTAACAAATAGTTTTAAAAACATCTATATGATCAGATTGATGATTCTAGCCCAACAATATTATATGTTGTCAATTGTCATCATTTACGTCGAGAGTTCAAGTTTGATATATATGAATTTAAAAGTAGTTTATAAATAGATTAAATTTTCTGTTACAAAAAAAAAATCTAAATATATATTTTTATTTATAGATTATGAGTGTTGATATAATTTTAGATATAAAAATGATTTAGAAACTTATATAGAACCTATACAATTGAAAAACTATTGGAAGAACTTATTCGAACCAAAACTTTTTCCAAAAAATGTTAATTAACATATTACTGTCATGAGTTTTTTCAATAATTTGGTAGGCCACATAAAGCTTAACCAATTATAAATAGAAAACTTACACAAACAAAGATAGAATAAACAATAATAAAATGATAAAAACAATGAATAAGATAACATTAGATTTTTATTTAAAAAAAATCCACTTAAAAGCACTTTTATTTATATAGTTTGGATGCACTGTAGTAAAAATTGGAAAATGAAATTTGCTGTGATTTATGAAATGACTTGTTAATAATCTAGAGAAAGAAGTTTAATGGGATTTTTAATCCTTGATTAGAGTGTTGATGGGATAAATAGAAGTTGATTGATTTTGAAATTGTTTCTATTTGGTTTTATTTAACTATTAATTATTTTGATTATTTAACAAAACAATATAAACTATTTTACTTATTCTGATAGCAATTCAAAATTTTTACAACATCTAATGAAATTAAAACATAATTATTTAAACCTCTTTGGAAAAAAAAATGAATAACTTAATAGAATATATTTATGACATCATGCTCCAAACTGTATAAAACTAAAATGCGAGGGAGATTGGAAAGTTGGAGATCGATCTCTAGCCGGAGATCATGGCAGACGCCGGAATATATGTCGATTCAGGTAGCCTATCTCGGAAAGTAATTGCACTTGCTGCCGGAGAAGCTCATACGCTCGCTCTCACTGGTAATGAAACCTCATCTACAAGCTCTATCTCTCTTCATTACTTCTGTAATAAATAAACGATGTAGCTAATGTACGGATTCGATTTTGATTTTATGCGAGAAGGTCATGGGAGTGTGTATTCATGGGGAAGAGGAACTTTCGGCCGCCTTGGCTCCGGTTCGGAGCTCGATCGCCTTTTTCCGGCCAAAATTGAATTTAATTCCACAGAAAAGGTCAAAATCGTCCAAGTATCAGCCGGTTCTTACCACAGTCTCGCTCTTTCTGGTAAATTCCACGTTCTTCTTCTTCTTTTTCGCATTCAGAAGCCTCAAATAAGCACTCCAAAATCCAATTATCTCCATCAACAAGCTTAGAAATACATCGAATACAAACTTTTAGCACAAAAATTCTCCAAATTAACAGATTAGCGAAACAGATACGATCAACAGAAGAATCGAATTATTGACGTACTCTAATTGTTTCAGATGATGGTTCAGTTTGGAGCTGGGGTCACAATACTTGTATCCTTTTCGTGATTTTTTTTCATTCTCATTATATAAGCTCTGATTCAGTTCTATAAGTATGATATTTTGCATCCTTCACACCACCATAGATGGTCAACTCGGGGTCAATGGAGGGAACTCCTTAGTTCCATCTCTGGTACAGGTCTTCAATGAGCTACACCCTCCCAGTGCCTTGACAGATGAACCAATAACAAAAACTGAATCACGACTTCAGGTTTCAAATTAAGCTCTCCTCATCTTTCCTTTTGTAAATTTCTGATAATTCATATCACGAATTCAACTTCTTCTTCTTCTTCTTCTTCTTCTTCTTCCAGATTTCTTCCATAAAAGCTGGAGGAATGATGTCACTTGCCATAGACAATCTTGGATCCCTCTGGATGTGGGGAAACTGTCCTCCACAAGATAGTTTAACAGAAGGTGAATTCTCTCTTGTCCCTACATACACTCCAATACCCGTTTGGAACTTCCATGGTCAAACTGTGGTCAAAGTAGCATGTGGAAATGAACACATTGTAGCATTAGTTAGCACAGGAGAAACATATAAAGGTGATGACAATCTTGTTTGCTATACATGGGGCAACAACAATCACGGGCAGCTAGGGTTAGGAGACACAGAGATTCGAACAACTCCTCAAATCATTAAAACATTCAATCAAGAATCATCTTACACACCATATGAAGTAGCTTGTGGAGCCTTTCACACTTCTATACTCTCAAAAACAGATGGCGACATGTTAAGAAGTGTATGCTGGAGTTTTGGACTTGGGGATCACGGGCAGCTCGGGCAGCCCGGGCAGGGCACCATTAAGGATTCTTTATACCCTGAAATCGTTGAAGGGATACCTGAAAATATATGGTTGATATCAGTGGATTGTGGGTTGTTTCATACGAGTGTTGTTTCATCAGAAGGGTATGTTTGGTCATTTGGAATGGGAAATGGGCTAGGCCTTACAGAAAGTGATGGTGGAGATGCGGTTACTCCACGTTTGATACCATGTAATGGACTAAAATACCCTTGCTTTCAAGATCCTTTACAAGTAGCTTGTGGGGCTGCACATACTGTTCTTCTTGCAGATAATGGATATAAGCTTTGGTCATGGGGGAGAGGGAGAAGTGGGGTTCTTGGAAATGGCCAAGTAAATGACCTTTTTACCCCCAATCTTGTGTTATGGCCACCACTAGAAGAAGATTTTAAAAAAAGTGAGAAATTAGATGAAAAAGATTCGTTTGAGATCATAAAGATGAAGAAGGAACTAAATCTTGCAATGAAAGAGATAGATTTGTTACATTCTAAGCTTTCAACAATGGAGCATTATGCAAGCATACTTCATGGTATGATTTTTGGGAAGCCTTTTGAAGAGGAGAAAGATTTATTGTTGTCTTTAAAGAGTTCATATGATGTTGGTAAAGAGTGGGAGGATATGTTGGAGAGTTGTGATTATGGAAAGCTTGTAAGACTTGAAATGTTTTATTGTAAGATGCTTGCAAGTGTGAAAGATAAGATGATGAATGTAAAGATTAAGGAGATGATCAAAGAGTGTCTTGAATCTTCAACAAGTGTGTATCATTAAGGTGTCTTAATCTAGTATTTTGTATGATATATGAGTAATTTGATGATGTTTTAAAGGTTCTAAGTAGCAAATTTATAGATTGGATTAAAGATTCTTGGGTTGTAAGTATTAGGTAAGATATGTACTTATGTATGACAGTTATTTGTATGATTAATATGGATTAATAAAGGTGAGAATTTTGTATATTAATTGTGTTGATAATTGCACCCATGTCTAGTAAGATATCTATCTAAAGCATGCATAATGGTTGACCTTAGTAACATTCATTTAATAGAAACTTATTTTTCATATATTGGAAATAAGTTGCTAGTGTTTTTTTTTTTTTTTTTTTTTTTTTTTGCTTATAATCTTAATTAAAAATATTTTTTTTTTCATGACAAACCTTACTTTTCGTGATTATGCCTTATGATTATGTGTGATTCAAGTTGAGAAGATGTTTTGCTTGAACCTTTTTTAAGAAACACAATGTCTCGTGTATATCATAGTTCAACATAATAATGAAATAAAACAAACAAACAAGCCCAATGTTGTGTTTAATATGGGAAACCCGAGGTCTCATATCATAGTATCACATTGTCGACCCCAAAGGGCTTTTAGCACAACGATATCAGGTGTTGTCATCCTTCACTAAGATTGATGTTTCAAGTCTTGTTGTAGACATATATAGATTTAAGGAATAGTTTATATTAGATTTGCTACATAGCAATTGACTTCCTAAAATACATGAAGATTAAAACAAAACTATCCATCTCTTTTAATAAAAAGATCTTTAACGTGCCATGTGTCCCTTTTTCTACACCTTATTTTGCCATGTGGCATTATTCACTAGTACAAACGACATTGGTTGGCATGAGGATTTTTTTTGAACAGCTAAAGATTTTTTATAAAAAAAAAAAAGCAAAAAACGACTAACAAGAAACTAGCTAAAAACAACATCAATCAACAACACATATAGAGTTTTGAAGCCAACCCACCTGGTTAAGATTGTTTTTTGACCTAACATTACACCATAAAAAAGACTGCATGGCAAACTTATCAAAAAAATCTCCGAACTTCGGCTTCAAAGTAGCAAAAAGCATAGCATTATGAAAATTCCATAAATGCCACCAAGCAGAGAAGAAAATGCCTTCCAACCAAGACTTCAAATTCCCAAAAAGCCTTAGACCTGCTAACCAAGTACACAAGAGAAGGAGAAAAGACTCAACGCATTAAGACCCCACCAACGACAAATCTGAACTTGGACCTCCGAGGCAAGCCGACACGAGAAAAAAAGATGACTAGAACTCTCAGAAGCAGAATCACAAACTGGGAAACGTAAAGAATGGATATCCAAATCACGTCTATCTAGGTTCACACGTGTAGGGAGTTTATCCAAAGACACCCTGCAAGCAATCATATTCACCTTAATCGGAACCATTCTATACCACCAAGTATGAGAAGAAGATGCAGGTAACACAACATCATCCAAAAACCCATGTGCTAAAGACACAGAGAACTCCCCGTCACCAGTTAAGGATCACACCCACCTATCTTTAACCGGGGCTAACGAAATGTCATTAATCAAAGCTCGAAACTCAAACCATTGCATATTCTCGGCCCCTCCCCTAGGTAACCTGCGAAAAGATAACATCAAAGAAGATTGGGCGAATTTATCTTCAACCTGAATATGCTTATCCAACTCCATATTAATAAGTATCGGAAAGTGAAGCTTAAGCGGAGCATCACCAAACCAAACATCCTCCCAGAAACAAGTAAGAGCACCATCACCCACCTTTCTTTTACAAAACCAAAGAAGATCAAAACCTTTCTCTGACATTTGGAAAATAGTTTTCAAAATGTCAATCCAAACAGAGGAACTCCCTGCAGGCAGAGATACGCCAATAAAAGCACTGACACCATGAATCTCCCTAACAACTCTGGCCCAAAGCACATCAAGAGAAGTAAGAAATGTCACACCCATTTGAAAAGAAGGGCAAAATTAAGAGCAAAAATATTGCTCACCCCAGACCACCATTAGATTTATGCATTAAAACTTTTTTCCAACTAACCCACATAATTTTTTTTCTCTTCCAAATCCGCACCAATAAAGAAGTTATTACACAAGCTTTCAATATGTTGAAGAACGAATATGAATCCCTAAAAAGGGACATAAAAAAAGTAGGCATAGAACCCAAAAATGACTTGATAAGAGTCAGTCTACCACCAATAGAAAGGGTCTTAACTTTCCATCTAGAAAGTCTTAACACCATCTTAGCCACCACCTCTCTCCAAGATGAAATTCGATTCATCATACCACTAACAACCAAACCAAGATACAGAAATGGAAGAGTCATATTACCACAACCTATATGATTCGCCAAGATAGACACCTGCTCAGAAGGAACTCCAATACCAAGAAGAGAGCTCTTAGAATGATTAGTTTTCAAACCCGAAGTAAAGAAGAAACACCGAAGCACATGAAAAATAGAAAATAAATTAGATTCTTTCTACCCCCAAGAAAATAGCATCATCTGCATAGAAAAGATGAGAAATACAAACATCAACATCCGAGTCAATATGAATGGCCAAAAAAATCCCCTGATCAACAACTTTACTAAAGGCAACATGCAAACTCTCCATAACCAAAATAAAAAGGAAAGGAGATAGGGGATCCCTTTGTCTTAAGCCTCTATAAAACTGGAACTCATTCGTAGCAGCTGCATTAACAAGTACAGAGGCCCTACAAGACTGAAGGCACCCTTGAATCCAACTTCTCCAAATTTGGCCAAAACCCATAAGGCGGAGCACATAATCTAGAAAATCCCATCTAACCATTTCAAAATCCACTTTAAACACCACAACCTTCTTTTTCTTTCTCATACACCAAGAAATTGTTGGATTAGTGTCTACGCCCGTAACTATATTTGGTAAGTACTTGACCCAGTTGTGCATGGTCCTTTTAGGTTGACTTCACCAAAGCAACTTGACAGGGTGATTTATGAATAGAGAGGTTAATATGGTTTATTAATATATTATATGAATAATATATGAAAGGAGAAATCATACAGTTTAATTATTAGACAAGAATTAATTAAAAATTAATTCTATGACTAAAAGACATTAATTAAATAAAGGGGGCTTAAACTGTCAAATGTATGAAAGTTGAGTATTGGGTTGAGGAGCCTCATGGACTAGGCATGGACGAAATTAGGGATGTGTTCATCCTAATTTCGACCATAAGGGGCCTATTCCAGAAGCTTCCTTGGATTGCTTAAGGCCTAAGCTGCCCATTAGAGTTTAGACTGAAACCCTAGCAACACTAGTATAAATAAGACCCTAAGGCATCCAATTTTCGGCCACTTGAACCTTAAAGAGTCTTCATATCTGAAATTGTGACTTTCCCCTCTCTCCAGTATCATCCTCTTGCTTGTGTGGTGTTTGTAAGCCGTTAGAGGAGTAACATTTGCGACTCTAAGCTCCAAGACAAGAAGATTCAAGCCATTGTTCAAGAGGTAATCATCTAGATCTGTTTTGTTGTGATAATTTTGAAATATGTATGCTAGATCTAGGGTTTATAAGTCTTGGATGAATTGCATTTACAATAGAGAAACCTAGATCCAAATTTTAGGGTTTGCATGAGCATATATGATGTTATTTTGTGTAAAACCTATTAGAAATAATCTCATTCTTGATGAAAGGCTCGTCCAGAATTTGAGTATCTCTAATAAACACTCACTACTCCCAGCTAACCAACTCATCAATCACCGTAGCCAAACGATTGACCAAAATCTTACCCACGATCTTATATTGAAAGCTAATAAGACTGATGAGTCTAAAGTCCTTGATCAATCTTGCATCATTAAATTTTGGAATCAAAGCAATAAAAGATAGATTGCACCCTTTTAGAAAGGAACTAGACTTGAAAAACTCCCTAACATCAATAAAAAAGTCTTTCTCAAGAATAAGCCAAAACTGTCTAATAAAATCAAAAGAGAAACCATCAGATCCTGACAGTCCCACAATCCCACACAACTCTGTTGATTTCCTCAGGACACACGTCATCGTCCAAAATCGCGGCCTGATCAACACTAAGAATATTAAGAAAATGCATGATTAACCAAGAAAAGAGCAACTGGGGGCTTAGCAAACCGATTTTTGAAGTGCTCCAAGAACTCAACTTTCACCTGAGACGGATCATCAATCCAATCGCCATCATGTGAGATACCACGAATCACTAATTCTTTTATCTTCTTGTTCAGAATACCATGAAAATATTTAGAATTTCCATCACCTTCAATAGCCCATCTAATCTTAGCTTTTTGAGCCACATCAGTCACCTCAACTCCAATCTTCACACCCTCTTTGAGAAGAGCCGCCCAATCCACTGAATCAGAAGCCATACCTAGACCTTGATCAATTTTACGATAAATATCAACAAGTTTCTTGAGAATCTATACTTTAGAAGCAGCCCGAGACTCTCTAACTTGAGAATTCCATAACTTGAGATTCTTTTTTAATACATGTAATTTCTTTTTTAAACCAACCATAGAATTGGAATTAATAATTCCATCATTCATCAAAGAGTCCACCATCACGTGCTCGAACCCATCAACAGAAAACCAAGAATGGAAAACTCTGAAAGGCGTTGGGCCATAATTAATAACTAATTCTTTTAAAAGAATAGGTCGATGATTAGATAGATAACGGTCAAGAATACCACCTAAAATATTAGGGAAAACCTCCAGAAGACCATCAGAAATAAGGAATCTATCAAGCTTACTCATCTTGCCCACAACTCTGTTAGACCAAAGTGAAAGAAAACCCACCAAGCGAAATGTTAAACAAAGAAGTAGTAGCAATACAATTGTTAAAAACACCCACATTAGAAGCATTGAAAATTGACCCATATCATTCACTTTCACACCTAACTTCATTAAAATTATCCATAATAATAGTCTCCCCCTCCCACCTTCTACAAACCCGAGAAAGATAATCTTAACCAAATTATAGTATATGTTACA